CATTAAGAAAAAGTTTAACTTCTCTTAAAATATGCTGATCTTTTTAATTATGAAACTTTGAAAGTAAGGACAAATAATTTAAAGACATAAATTTTAGTCATTCTTCAGACTTGCGTTCAAATATAGGATAATAATTTCCCTTTTGCTACCCCCCCAAAATTTATGAGTGATGTTTCAAGTCCACGAAAGAGATTTACTATACCAACTATTGCTGTTAGTCTATGATGGCATAAAGGATGTGATTCACTTTCTAATCAGCTCATTTAAAAATATATTATTCACAATTTGGTATAGGACAGAATCTTTTTAGATGTCTTCCTGAGGGAAGGCAGAAAAGGAATGTTAGATTTCTTAATATAAGAGAAAACATTAAATAATGTTTCAGAAACAGTATTTTTATTTTATAAATACTGTGGCTAATAGCTACTGATATAATTTTCCCTTCCTTGCTTAGTTTCTGTGAACTATGAATCTCTGAATATGTTCATAAATCCAGATTCCTAAATGAAATTAAAGAAATAGGATGGGTGGGCTGGAGTTGTGGCTCAGTGGTAGAGCACTTGTTTGGCATATGTGAGGTACTGGGTTCTATCTTCAGCACCACATAAAATAATAAATAACATAAAGGTATTATGTTCATCTACAACTATTTTTTAAAAAAGAAATAGGGGGCTGGGGTTGTGGTTCAGTGGTAAGCTCTCGCCTAGCATGTGCGAGGCCTTGGGTTCAGTCCTCTACACCACATAAAAATAAATAAAATAAAGGTATTAAAAAAAGAAATAGAATGGGTAAGCCACGTCTAGTTTAAACAATTATTTGAAATAACTCATGCTGCCATTGCCATCTTTTCCCAACTCCCTATTAATCAGCACATATGACTGCACCTGGTAAGTGACAGTTGACAGTTGTAGTTGTGCTATGTGTGTATGTGAGGTACTAGAAATGCATCTCAGGCCTCACACATGTTAAGTACTTTATTACTGAGCTATGGCCCCAGCCTGATTCCTCTTTTTCAAATAGTATACCTTACTAGTTCCAACTATACCTTCTCTGAATTAGTTATGCAGTCATGTTTGTGACATTTTTTCTTACATTAAAAGACATATAATCAATCAACAAACATATGAAAAAATGTTCAACATTGCTAGCAATTAGAGAAATGCAAATAAAAACTACTCTAAGGTGCTGGGGCTGGGGCTCAGCAGTAGCTCACTTTCCTGGCATGTGTGAGGCACTGGGTTCACTTCTCAGCACCCCATATAAATAAATAAAATAAAGGTCTATCAACAACTTAAAAAAAAACTACTCTAAGATTTCATCTCACTCCAGTCAGAATGGCAGATATCAAAAATACAAACAACAATAAGTATTGGAAAGGATGTGGGGAAATAGGGACACTCATACACTGCTGGTGGGACTGCAAATTGGTGCAGCCAATATGGAAAGCAGTATGGAGATTCCTTGGAAAACTGGGAATGGAACCACCATTTGACCCAGCTATCCCATTCCTTGGTCTATACCCAAAGGACTTAAAAACAGCATACTACAGGGACATAGCCACATCAATGTTTATAGCAGCACAATTCACAATAGCTAAATTGTGGAACCAACCTAGATATCCTTCAATAGATGAATGGATAGGGAAATTTTGGTATGTATACACAATGGAATATTACTCAGCATTAAAAGAGAATAAAATCATGGCATTTGCAAGTAAATGGATGGAGTCAGAGAATGTAATGCTGAGTGAAGTTAACCAATCCCAAAAAACCAAAGGCCTTGTCTTTGATATGAGGATGCTGACTTGTAATGGTGATGGGAAAGAAGCATGGGAGGAACGGAGGAACTTTAGATAGGGCAAAGAGTGGGGAGGGGCAGGGAGGGGGCAAAGGGGTAGGAATTATGGTATAGTGAGTTAGATATCATTACCCTAAGTACATGTATGTAAGACACGAATGGTGTGAAAATACTTTGTGTACAATCAGTGACCTGAAAAATTGTGATATATATGTGTAATATGAAATGAATTACATTCTGCCATCATGTATAATGAATTAGAATAAATAAATAATTTAAGAAAAAAGACATATAAGGAATGGGGCTGTAGCTCAATGGTAAAACGCTTGCCTCTTCCGTGTAAGGCACTGGATTCGATACTCACAACCACATAAAAATAAAGATACTGTGTGTTCATCTACAACTAATATGTGTGTGTGTGTGCGTGTATGTATGTATAAAAGACATATAAAAGCAGGACACTGTGGGGTATGCCTGTAATCCCTGCAACTCGGGAGGCTGTGGCAGGATTGCAAGTTGGAGGTAGCCTCAGCAGCTAAGTAAGGCGCTAAACAACTTAGAGAGACCCTGCCTCTAAATACATAAATAAATAATTAGAGGCTAAGGATGTCACCCAGTGGGTAAGTCAACTCTGGATTTAATCACTAGTACAAAATAAAATTACATATAAACTGAACACAGTGGAACAAATCTGTAATCCCACTTGAGGATTACTCAGAAGCTTGAGGCAAGAGGATTGTGAGTCTGGGGATAGCATGGGCAACATATCAAGACCTTGTCTCAACCCTCATTCTAGATGAGAATAGGCACTGTCAATCAGTGTCTAAAATTGGTCAGTGTGGCTAAATTGACACAGTTTATGCTTCTATCACAGTATATGTATTGCAATGGTGACAATGAGACCTGTAACATTTTGCTTAAGCTCACAAGTGAAAATAGGTAATAAGAAAAATGCTGGCATTTCAATATTAAAAATGATTAATGAGGGGCTAGGGTTGTGGCTCAATGGTAGAGCACTCACTTAACATGCATGAGGCACTGGGTTCGATCCTCAGCACCACGTAAATATAAAGATATTGTGTCCACCTATAACTCAAAAATTAAATATTTTTAAAAAATGATTAATGAAACAAGTACTTTCTGCAGTTCAAGTTCTATAAAAAGAAGACCCTAAGAAGCAAAATAAAAAATGCCTATTCATTCATACACAATTACCTCTGTTTTCTCTTTAAAAAAAATAATGAGGATGATTTTTTTTTCTTTTTGTGGTGCTGGGGATTGAACCCAGGGCCTTGTGCATGCTAGGCAAGCACTCTACGAACTTAGCTATATCCCCAGCCCCCACGAGGATGATTTTTTGTTGTTGCTTTCATTTTACTTTATTATTTGCTTAGCATCTATTTTTGTACATATTAATGGAGTTCAGTGAGATATAAATTATTGATATATAATATGTAATAGTATTTACATAATGCATATATTATGTACATTACATAATATATGATATTATATTGCATATATTATATAATATCCAATATTATATTGCACATATGCATTATATATTATATATTGTGTACAATACATACTATATAATACAAATGCACATTTTATATATATATATGAATGACAGAATCTTAGTTTCTATACTCAGGCTGACCTTGAACTCCTTAGTTCGAGTGATCTTTCTGCCTCCTCCTCCTCAGTAACTGGGACCACAAACATGTCCCACTGTATTCCAGCGTGATATTTTAACAGCTATATACAGCATGCATTGATCAAATTAGGGTAATTAGCTTTTCTCCCTCCTATGTTTCTTTATGTTTGGATCATTTGATCTCTCTTCTGTGTCTTCCCAAAATATACAATAAGGTATTCTGAGCTGGAGAACACCAGAACTTATTCCTGATATCTAGCTATGTTTTAGTACCCATTATCCAACTTCCTTATATCCACCCTCCCAACCCACCTACCACTTTGAAACCTCTGGTAATCACCATTATTTTCTGCATTCAGGTCCATGTTTTTAGCTTTCACATGTAAGAGAAAAACATTGTCTTTCAGTGTCTGACATAATGTTTGACATAATGCCTTCCATTTCTATCCATTTTGCTGCAAATGACAGGATTTTATTTTTATTTGTGGCTGAAGAATATTACATTTTATATACAAGCCATATTTTCTTTATCCTTTCATCTGGTAATGGGCACCTAGGTTGACTCCTTATCTTAACTATTGTGAATAGTGTTCCAATAAACATGGAAGTGCAGGAATCTCATTAGTATGCTGATTTTTATTTTCCTTTGGATATACACTCAGAAGGATTGCTGGATCTTATGGTAGATCTATTTCTAATGTTTTATGGAGCCTCTGTACTGGCTATACCCCACTAACAGTGTTTTGAGCTTTCTTTTCACCACATTCTCACCAGCACATTATTTGTTTTAAATATTTTTTACTTGTAGCTGTACTTAATACCTTTATTTTAATGTGGTACTGAAGATCAAACCCAATGCCTCTCATGTGCCAGCCCACACATTATTTTTTGACTGTCTGATAATCTCTGTTTTTACTGGAGTGATGTAATATCACATGGTGGTTTTGGTGTGTGTTTCCCTGATAACTACATGTTGAACATTTTTTATATATTTGTTAATCATTTGTATTTCTTTTGTGAAATCTCTACTTATATCTTTAGTCCATTATTAATTGGATTATTTGGCTTTTTGTTCATGATTTTTCAGAAGCATGTGATCTAGTTTGTCATCTCTCCAAGTGTCTCAAGCTTCTCCTTTCTCATACTGCCTTCCTTTTCATGGTTTTTAAAGGGTGAGAAAGACACTAAAAGAGGATGAAACAAATCACTATTTTTTCCCATTGTTATCTTTGAGATAATAAAATCACTACATATAGGGAATATTGCAGAAATTTGAAGCTATTGCTTAATATGGGTCTTGAGAATTATATATAGATCTTCAATGGTCCATGCTTTCACACTAGTACTCTAAAATCGTACATCTTTTCATATAAACAAAGTAAAATAAGCTATTGAGATTTCACTTCTCAAGTTTGAAATTAGGCTATTATGGTACATTAATTTAGTGTGTAGTCCAGTAAAATATTTCACATTATTTCTTATTTATTCTAGTGATTCTAGCTTTCCTTTCAGAGTTTATTCTATTATCTTTGTGTTTTTGTTTCACTAGATGGTTTCCGAAAGGTGCTTGCAATGGAAAATGGAAAGGTTTTACAAAGGAAGACATTAACTATGGAATTTCAACATCCATTCTTCAAAAAGGGAGGATCCAGCCTTCTAGAAAACATCAAGCGCAAGGTAAGGGGACTGTTGCCACAAACTCTTCTGTAGCATTTTGGGCAGTGGCTAGTTTTTCCTTAATCTAAATATTTCAGTTTTTGTAAGTTTTAAGGGTCAAGTTGCTGGAATTTGGCAATTGGAAATTCATTTGCTAGGTACTTTTTCTAGTTCTCTAGAAAGATGACTTTTAGATATCAGTTTATCTATAGACTTATTATTATGCTTCCTTGGTATATTTTATTGCCATTTCATCTTTTTCTCATGCAGATGGGAATATAACATTTTAGCAAGTAAGCAGAAGAGACAAGGTTAAATTATAAATTAGTAACTATTTATATTTTTCCTAACATACAAGATAACTGCTGAACTTGCCTGTTCACTCCCAGAGCTAATTATTAGTCAAGGCAGAATAGTAATAAAGTTTTCCATTCATGAGATGTCTATGTATGTAGATACTTTGCATGAACCTATGTATAGATGACATCAGTGTACTGGAAGTTTAAGACCAAAATCAAAACCAGAAAGATTTGGATTATCACTTAGATTAGTGGTTCTCATTATATGATTTGTGAACACCCTAACTTTCTTGAGACATTTTTTCAGGGACCTGTGAGATTGAAACTATTTTCTTAATAATACAAAGATTTCTTGGCTTTTTTCACTCTTTATTCTTTCCTGAGTACAGTGGAATATCTCCAAGGTTACATGATGTCTGATTGCATCATCACTCTAATATTAATACATAATGTACATATTATTGTAAATTTCTTTTGGTACTAGGGATTTAACCCCAGGGTGCTTCACCAGTGGGCTGTCTCCCCAGTCTCCCCCCTTCCCCTTTAAGACTGGATCTCACTAAGTTGCTTAGAGCCTTGTTAATTTACCAAGGCTGGTCTTGAACTTGTGATCCTCCTGTCTCAGCTTCCCAACCCACTGGGATTACAGGTGTGCCCAGAAATTAATAAATATTCAAAATTTTATAAAATTTAAATTCTGATATGGTAAATATTGACAAATATAAGCCATATAAATAAAACCATAGTTTTCATCTTAGATGTGGTGACCTTGGAATGACCTTCCCATTCTGTGAGGTAGAAGAATGAAGAACAAAGCTAAATTAAGATGAATCAGCTGGGCACTGTGGCATTTGCCTCCAGTGACTCAGGAGGCTGAGACAGGAAGTTTGCAAATTCAAGACCAGCCTCACCCTGCCTTCAGGAACTTATTGAGACTGTGTCTCAAACCAAAAAAAAAAAAAAAAAAAAAAATTAAAAAGCCTGGGTATATGGCTCAGTGGTAAAGTACCCCTGGGTTCAATCCCCAGTTTAAAAAAAAAAAAGATGAATAATTATCCCATACATTGAAAAAGGAGTCACTTGGGATTTCCCAAGTGACAAATATAAGCCATGTAAATATACTACTGAGCACTTTTTTTTCTTTTTTTTTTGTACTGAGGATTGAACTCAGGGGCACTTGACCACTGAGCCACATCCCCAGCCCTATTTTGTATTTTATTTAGAGACAGGGTCTCACTGAGTTGCTTAGCACCTCACTATTACTGATGCTGGCTTTGAACTCACAATCCTTCTGCCTTAGCATTCCCAGCTGCTAGAATTACAGGCATGCACAACCATGCCCACTTTCTGAAAACTTCTTTTTGCTCTCATTCGGAGTAATATTTAGATATATGAACTCAACAGTGTTGTTGTTATTATTATTATTATTATTATTATTATTATTATGTGCTTGGAATTGAAACTAGGGCCTCATGTATAGGCTAATTTCTTTCTTTTTTTTTTTTTTTTGGTACCAGGGATTGAACCCTGGAGCACTATCCACTGAGCCATATCCCCCGCTCCTTTTTATCTTTTATTTAGAGAGAGGATTTCATTGAGTTGCTTAGGGCCTTGCTATGGTGCTGAGGCTGGTTTTGAAGTCACGATCCTCCTGCCTCAGCCTCCCTAGCCACTGGGATTACAGGGATGCACCGCCACACCTGGCTTATTTTAATTTCTTATTTAAATAAACAAAAACTTTAAATGTGTTTTTCTTGTTTAAGTATACTTGTTAACTTTTAAGTTCTTTGGTTTGTGAATATTTGGGAAATGACACATACCCTCCACAGAGAAGATGACCAGGTTATGGCCTACAAAGAGGACAAGCAATTTTTTCATTTATTAAAGAATGAAAACAGGTATCTGTTTCACTGCAAATATAATTGTACCTTCTTCTGACTCTTGATACAATTTATTATCTGTGCCACTCAATTGCCATTTATTGCATACTGCTTTTCCTAGATAGCCATCTATTTGTGTCTAAACATCTAACTTTCTTGATCTTTTAAAATTTTTTTTATTTATTTAATTTTAATTAAAAAAATTTCAGTACTGGGGATTGAATCCAGAAGCACTTTACCTTTGAGCAACATTACAGCCCATTTTGTTTTGAGACATGGTCTCACTAAATTGCTTAGGGCCTTACTGAATTGCTGAGGCTGGAATTGCACTTGTGATCCTCCTGCTTCAGCCTCCTGAGTCACTGGGATTATGGGCATGTGCCACCATGCCACTCTTCTGATCTGTAAAATTTATATAAGCAATCTTTGATAGTCAGCTTAGTCCTTAGACAAGTTTACAGCAGGTAAAAATATACTGGAAGCTTTTGTTCAGAATTCCAGAGTTTCAACTTAAGAGTCCTAGAACCTCTAGTTTTTTCTTTGCTAGAAGCCAGTCTCACTCATATTAGTGGCATGACGTAAAGATTCATTTTAGAGAAATTGGTAACATGATGTGTTGCTTTATTCTGTTAAAGTTTTTTTGTTACTTCTCATCTGTGTTTAATGTTGATTAAAAACTTTTATTGTATGTACACCATGAGATAATGAATGAGTGAGAGTTTTTAAAGATCTAATAAATATGATGATAATGCACCTTATGGGCATACTCCCACCAACAGCAGAGATCTAAATCATTAAAGCCTGTTCAGTCACCACCTGTGGAAATAATTACAACAATGTTATTATAGACATTATTCTGCATTAAATTATAAAGCCTTCTTAGCATGATGCTTCTTTTTATAAAATACATACTGCAATATGCACTTATCGCAGCAGGCCTATAAAATGAATCTATAGTCTAACTTGGATTGTTTCTAAGAATTAACCACATTGTAGATTATCCATAATCTAAAGCCCCTCCCCAACACTGATCATAATAGCTCCCAACAGGAAATAACTAGGTGAGGGTCAGAGCTAAAACTTAAATATAATGAAATATATTTATGAGAGTGCCTATCTAAGTTAATATACTTCCATATGTGTCAAAGTCATGTATAATTGTCTTTTAGATTTTCTGTTTTGCTATAATACATACTTTATTCTCTCTGTAGGCTTTTTCAATTCTTTAGGGATAGAAACTGTGACTTACCCATATTTGCACTATTGTTAATGTGTAAATTGTACTCAACATATGCTGAATTTAGGAAATATTTATTGCAGGTCTCCTCTGTGTAAGGTATTGTTCTAGGTAATGGTGAGAAGGATAGAAGGAGACTATCTTTCAATTAGTGGGAGAGATGATAATGTATGTAATAACTGTAATATGAGGCATAGTTTGCTTAGTGCTACAATAAAGGCACATTTATAGAATTCAGTCTACTGTTTTAGATTAATCATACATCTTTTCCCTTCTATTAGTGCCAATAATGGAGAGTTGATGGTATGTGAAATTTCTAACCAACCCGACTGTATTCTGTTTTCATTTTAGGTGCCAACAATGAAAATTGAGAATGTCAAAACTTACCCTCGTGAGTTGCAGAGAATAATGAGTGAAGTGCGGGATATGACAGACAAGCAGAGTAACATGGATGCCAAATTTGCAGAACTGAAAAAGTGGGTGTTTATCAAGATTTCCAATGTCCGTTTCCAAGGTTTAAAGGTTGATTGCTTCTGAGTTGAGAAACTGAACTCTTGTTTTCCATGGCACTTTAATGAGGTTTCTTTCAAGTTAAACCACAGCACTGAATCAAATGCTTTAGTGTTTGGACTGCTGCTAATGTGCCAGTGGCTCAGATCATGTAATTGTGGCTGACTAGAAGATCACTGTATAAATCAGAAATAAACTATTGGCATCCAAAACAACTGTGCAAGCATGAGTGGTATAGCAGATAGCAGTTTTCATTTGACAATAGAAAACAGAAAAATATATAGGTTCTATATTTAAGTAACCTGACCTAAATTCCTGGCTAATTCTTTCCTTGGACTAGTTTTTAAAAATGTTCTGTGAAATGCATACTTTAAGATGTATCTCATTGCTTTCTGAGGAGCTACCATGTACAGAATATAGCATGCAGTTATTCTAACCTTTATTCAGAATATAGTGTTCAAAGGCAAAATTTAAATGGTTAAGCAGTCTCAAAATAATACCTGTGATAAAAAAATTATAACCTATTTTTTCTTAGAGGAGATGTATGTGAATATTTTCCAGTAAATGTTCATCAGTATTCAAATTAAACTTGAACTCCTTTCCAAATCTTTCGATGAACTGCAAATGTACCTTTAATTTCATGATTCAATCTTTTGTAATTGACTTAGTAAATTAAACTTTTCTTATTCATCAAGGGAGAAAAGAGTGAGGAAGTAACGAGAATGGAAGTAGTTTTCTTGCTTTTTCACCAACATTGAATATAAGCCCAGATTTTCATTGACATTGACTATGAGCCAACCCTTCATATTAATTCTGGATATCAGCCTGTTGTTAAACGTTAACCATAACCTACAGATACATCATGTGGTTGCTGATCCTCCAGTGGGTTCTGGCTTGTTTTATAGGTAAAACAGACCAGAAAATATTGGGCAATAGTGAACTAGATGGCCTTCTGAGGTTTCTTCCGGCCCAAAATTTGTGATACTTTCCCATTGTGGAATTTGGATTGTATTAGAACACATTTAAAATTCATTCTGTATAGGAAATTTAGTCTCTTAATCTGCTACAAAGTGTCTCTTGTCATACCATTCAGTGAAAGTATAGATGTGTTAGTTTGGCATAAATCCACCATCCTAGAGTTTTAAGTGTTCTTTCAGCCTTTTATGAACTATTTCTCTATTCTTAATCCTATGAATGTTATGACTACATTAGAAGTATATGGATTTGTGGGGGTGGGGTTGTGGCTCAGTGGTAGAGTGCTTGCCTGGCACGTGTGAGGTACTGGGTTTGATCCTCAGCACCACATAAAAACAAACAAACAAACAAACAAATAAATAAAATCATGGCATTTGCAGGTAGTGGATGGAGTTTGAGAAGACAATGCTAAGTGAAGTTAGGCAATCCCCAAAAGACAAATGCCGAATGTTTTCTCTGATATAAGGTGATTGACTCATAGTGGGGTAGGCGGGGAGAGCATGGGAGGAATAGATGAACTCTATATAGGGTAGAGGGGTGGGAGGAGAAAAGAGGACAAGGGGTTAGCAATAATGGTGGAATGTGATGGTCATTATTATCCAAAGTACATGTATGAAGGCATGAATTGGTGTGAACATATTTTATATACAGAGATATGAAAAAATGTGTTCTATATGTATAATAAGAATTGTATTATACATATAGAACACATATTATACATAATACACTGTCATGTATTTAAGAAATGAAAACAATCAATCAATAAACAAATGTATTATATCCATCTACAACTAAAAAAATGAAAATAAAGAAGTATATGGGTTTTTAATGATTCTCAGATTCTCCCGTTTAGAAGAGACTACCTTAATAGTAGTCTTGCTCTCAAAAAAATTACTGTGTGATACAGAAGTGTAGATCAGTGGTGCAGCATGTGACTAGCATGGACAAGTCCCTGAATTTGATCTCCAGCACCACATACAAAAAAGGGAAAAATTAGTGTGATATCTGTATGGACTAATTCACTGACAAAGTTTGAAAAGTATTAGATTTTAAGCCTGAAATATTCAGGCAGGATAATGGGAGGTGCCAATCTTCATGAAGAACATGTTTTTGAGACTTTTATTTTTAATTAATTTTTTAATTATGACAGTGGAATGCATTACAATACTTATTACACATATAGAGCACAATTTTTCATATCTCTGGTTGTATACTAAGTATGTTCACACCAATTCATGTCTTCATACCTGTACTTTGGATAATAATGACCATCACATTCCACCATCATTTCTAACCCCCTGCCCCCTCCCTTCCCCTCCCACCTCTCTACCCTATCTAGAGTTAGTCTACTCCTCCCATGCTCCCCCTCCCTACCCCACTATGAATCAGCATCCTTACATCAGAGAAAACATTCGGCATTTGGTATTTTGGGATTGGCCAACTTCACTTAGCATTATCTTCTCTAACTCCATCCATTTACCTGCAAATGCAATGATTTTATGCTCTTTTATTGCTGAGTAATATTCCATTGTGTTTATATGCCACATTTTTTTATCCATTCATCTACTGAAGGGCATTTAGGTTGGTTCCACAGTTTAGCTGTTGTGAATTGGGCTGCTATAAACATTGATGTGGCTGTGTCCCTGTAGTATGCTGTTTTTAAGTCCTTTGGGTATAGACTGAGGAGAAGGATAGCTGGGTCAAATGGTGGTTCCATTCCCAATTTTTCAAGAAATCTCCATACTACTTTCCATATTGGCTGCACCAATTTGCAGTCTCACCATCAGTATATGAGTGTTCCTTTTTCCCCACATCCTTGCCAACACTTATTGTTGTCTGTATTCTTAAGAACTGCCATTCTGACTGGAGTGAGATGAAATCTTACAGTAGTTTTGATTTGCATTTTTCTGATTGCTAGAGATGTTGAAGATTTTTCATATATTTGTTGATTGTATATCATCTTCTGAGAGACGTGTCTGTTCAGGTCCTTGGCCTGATTAAGTTATTTGGGTTATTATTTTGGTACTTAGATTTAGTCTGCTTTCTTAACGCAGTAGATAGTGAGTCAGTCTCATAATCTGAAGAACACTTTAAATACTATTAACTCAGACAACTCTATATAATATTTGATATATATATATATATATATATATATATATATATATATATATATATTCAAAATTCTTTTTTTTAGGTGGATGTAAAATATTTATTTATATATTGTTTCTTTTCTGATTACTCAGAACCCTGAAGACTCCGAAATCCTTAGATTTAATTTAATTTAATTTAATTTTATTTTTTTAAATTTTTTATTGTTGGTTGTTAAAAACATTACATAGTTCTTGATATATCATATTTTACACTTTGATTCAAGTGGGTTATGAACTCCCATTTTTACCCCATATACAGATTGCAGAATCACATCAGTTACACATCCATTGATTTACATATTGCCATACTAGTGTCTGTATATATATATTCAAAATTCTACAGAAACATTTCTGTCCTGCTTCATTTGAGGAATCTGTTAATGTTGTAGGAAATATGCAACACTTTGGCTTGAAGTGACAGAGCTAAGACAGAATTACTGCAAGCAACAGCAACTTTTAACACAGGTATCAATAAATCTTTTTTTAAAAAATATTTTTTCGTTTATTTATTTTTACGTGGTGCCAAGGATTAAACCCAGTGCCTCACACATTCCAGATAAGCACTCCACCCCTGAGCCACAACCACAGCCCCTCAGTTCAGACTTTTAAGGTAAAGATTAAATAAATCACAACTAAATTTTAATATTTAGTTGTGTTGGGCTGGGGATGTGGCTCAAGCGGTAGCGTGCTCGCCTGGCATGCGTGCTGCCCGGGTTTGATCCTCTGCACCACATACAAACAAAGATGTTGTGTCCGCCGAAAACTAAAAAATAAATATTAAAAATTCTCTCTCTTTCTCTCTCTCTCTCTCTCTAAAAAAAAAATATTTAGTTGTGCTTAATGAGGTCTCTACCTTCCTCTTTACCTATTGATTTCCTTAAATATCAAAGATGATGTCCTAATTAATTATTCTGTATGATTTTTTTTTCAGATTCTTCAGTTTATGTTGAATTTGATAGGTGAAAACTACATGGTAAACACAGATAGAAAAAGGTGATTTTATTAACTCCAATTCTTTTCTTGGTTATAGAAGGTGTCTTTATTCTCTCTTATAATTTTTCTTTTTCTAAGCTTATTATTTTTTACATCAGAGAATTTAGCATGTACAAATTGTGCATGTGATATCAGGATAAAAAATACCTACCAACAAAAGCCACACATATCAGCTCAGTGTATCTTGTTTTTCCTTTTGTTTTCATACTTGATAACAGACTAACTTTGCCATGGCATGATATAATAGGTATATCCTAGTTGTTGGATCTTACTTGCAGGATGATTTTTTTCTTTCTGTCTTCCTTTTGTAGGCCTACTAAGTGCTAATCATTCTAAGGCTTCTTCTCTCTAAGGAGCCAGACAGAACTGGACTTCTTCTTTACTTTTAAATAAACATGTTCATTTTATTGTATGTATGTATGTATGTATGTATGTATTTGGTGCTGGGGATCAAACCCAGGGCCTCACACATGCTAAATCTATACTCTACCATTGAACTATACCACTAGCCTCAGAATCCCTTCTTAACATATCTCCTGGGATTATTCTGGAATAGATTGAAAAGTACTCCTCAACTCTACTTTGTTAAGGAGTCGTAGAACTTGCATAGAGGTTCTTCACACAAGGGATTATCCTGGACAGAAAGAGCAAAGAAGTTTTACCTCCAATTTCTGATATGATCAGGAGTTCCCAGCTTTACCTTACCTGGTCTTTTGCAACCTAAAATTATAGGATTTTTATGTAAGTCCTTAGAAGACAGAGTATATAATTGTAAAATTTTCCCTTGTGATATGCCATGTAGTTGTATCTGAGAAATAAAGTCATGTTATTAGCTTGATTCCTCAGATTTCATTAAGCTATTTTGAACCAGTAGATAATAGCTGATATTTATTGAGTATTTACAGTGTGCTATGTGCCCTACATAGACTATCTCAATTAATTATTACAAAAATTCTATTGGATGGGCTCTAACATTCTCCCCATTTCACAGATATGAGAATTAACTAAAAGAAAATTTAACTACTTTATCTGAAGTGACTTAGTTAATACATGATAGAGCTATATTTCAAACCTAGGTAGGGGGGAGTCATTGACTTCAGAGCTTTGCCTCACATTTGAGTGGACCCTCCTTCACACTTATTTTTGATAACCTCTAATTTTGATATAATCAAACTTGATAAAAATTTATATGAATGCTACAAGTGACTCCCATAGAGCTTTTACCCAGATTTCCAACTTAACATTTTATATTATCATTTATTCTCCCTTCTTCCCTGTCCTTACACACACAGAGGCACACTTTTTTCTGAACCATTTGAAAGGAAATTCAAGATATAGTGTCCATTGTTCCTAAGATTTCATGTGTATTTCCTAAGAATGATGATGATGATGATGATGATGATGATGATTGTTATTATTTGCTTTTTGAGGGGGTGTTTTTTTTTTTTCATTTTCTGGGGATTGAAACCAGGGGTGCTTTACCACAGAACTATATCCCCAGTCCTTTTTATTTTATTTTAAGGCAAGTTCTTGCTAAATTGCTGAGCCTGGTCTTGAACTTAAGATCTTCTTGCCTCAGCCTCCCAAGTCACTGGGATTATATGCCTACACCACCATGCCTGATGGACTTCAACATTTTTGAAGAGTACAGGCCAGTGATTTTTGTAGAATATCCATCATTTGGGGTTTGCTGTGGTGTCATGGCTAGAAAACAATTGTAATTTTTGGTAATATAACTAAGAAGTGATTCTGTATTCTTAGTATATCATTGTCAGAGACAGCTAATGTCAGTTTCTGTAATTATCTGTGATATAAGCTTTGATCATTTGAATTCAAGGGGTGTTTCCTCAGTTTCTCTAGTCTTAAGTTACTATTTCTCACTTAGTAACTTTCCAGGAGATACTTTTAATTTATATAAACACTCTTTTCAATGTTTCTTCCATTAAAGTAGCCCTTAACTCAGGGGCAATTTACCACAGAGTTACACACCCCTCCACCAGCCCATTTTTATTTTATGTTGAGACAGGGTCTTGATAAATTTCCTAGGCTGTTCTTGAACTTGGCATTCTTCTGCCTCAGCCTCCTGAGTAGCTGGGATTATTGGCATGCTATTTGTACAATTTGACTCTTCTAATTACATTATTTCTCTATATATTTTGTTTACATTCTACTATAAGGAAGAACTTTTTCTTTTTTGCTGGTTATTCATTTGTTTATATCAACATGGAATCATGGATTCTTATTTTAGTAAGGGATTATAATCTTTATCAGAATATGTCCATTGATAGCTATATTGTTGCTTTGAGCATTTTTACTTTTCACATAATAGAATGTTCTAGGCTTGATTTATACTTTGCATTTCCCAGCTCTGGAATCAGGCATCACTCCAAAGAGTCTGGTTTCCCCTTTAGCTCTTTGTTTTAGTTTTAGCTGACCCAATGTATACTTAAAAATAAAAGCTATTAGGATATCTTAATGTAGACACTTAGAAGGAAGCTAGCACACAGGGTAATATTCCAAATTGTTGCTACTTTTTCTTAGCTGCCTCTCATTAAAATGTAGTGGGTCCTTTTCTTTGCTCACATTGTTGCTGAGATGCTAAAACATTATGTCTCGTGGGAATCATTCTGACAAAAGATAATTAAAATTTAGGTTCTATACAATACTTTTGCTGACCATGCAACATTAAGATAGCTTATAACATTGAAATGTGAATCTCGTTGCAGGTCATTTCCACTTAAATCTGGGGCTTCAGCTTCCAAATGTGCTCATCAATATTTCCATATTCCAGAGGAGAAGAAGAAAGAAGCTGTAAGATTCTGGAATAAGATGATGGTGGTGGGTGGGTGAAAACAGAGCATTTACTGTCAGTTAAATTTCCAGTACCTGTTATTATTTCTCATACCATTGTTAAGTGTTCTCTATGGGAATCACATCAAATATGATCTGAGAAAGACCAGATGTATACATAGGTACATGATCAACTCTCATTTCCTCTCACCTTCCTGTTTAGATGCAGATATTACAAAATGGTTATACACTTATTGAAGAAAAATATAAAAATCTCCTTGATAGTATCATACCTACTTTGAAAGATGAATCTAAAACCTTAGTTTCATGTATGGACCAGGCAATTGGAGATGATGGGTAAGCAGTCTCGTGGATAATGTACTGGTAATGAATCATAATATAGTCTACAGGTATGTTAAATCACGAGGTATATTTTGTTGTTAAGTGAACAAATAATGTTTTCCTTCAGTTACTAAAATAAAATACAACTAATGTCCTGTCATTATGCATTTGTGTTCTTCCTTAGTGTTAATGGTACTGCTGTCCATATCTGGGCATTGAACCCAGAGTGTGAGCGACATTCCCAGCCCTTTTATATGTTGTTGATGAACTTTTATTTTATTTATTTTATTTTATATGTGATGCTGAGAATCTAACCCAGTGCTTCACACATTCTAGGCAAATGCCGTACCACTGAGACACCATCCCAGCCCTAATGTTTTGAGACAGAATCTTGCTAAGTTGCTTACGGCTTCACTAAGTTGCTGAGGCTGGCTTTGAACTCATGATCTTCCTGCCTCAGCCTCCCAAACCACTAAGATTATAGGCTTGCACCACTGTACCTGGCTGCCATTCATGTTCTTGTTCAGCCTTCCTTATGACTACCAAAACATCCTTGTAAAAAAGTTTAACCTGTATTTTATTACAACAGAATAGGGCAGTGATAACTGGCCCTTTAAAATATGTATACAGTAAATGATTTTTGAAGAAATAAGGTATTAAAATATAATTTACTTAATGTAAGATATTTGTATATGATTATGGCTTGGATATGAGATATCACCTAAAAGTTCATGTTTGAGACAATCTAAAAAGGTTCAGTAGTGAAAACATTTGATTATGAGAATTGTAACTTACTCAGTGAGTTAATCCACTGATAGGGATTAACTAGGTGGTAACTGAAGGCAGGTAGGGTATAGCTAGAGGAGATGGGTCACTAGGGGCATGACTTTGGGGTTTATATTTTGTCCCTGGTGAGTGGAAAACTCTCTCTCTGCTTCCTGATTGCCCTGTCCTGAACTTCTTTCCTCCTCCATACCTTTCTACCATGATGTTTTGCTTCACCTTGAACCCACAGCTGTGGAGTTGGCCTTCTGTGGACTAAGACATCTGAAATTGTGAGCACCAAATAAATTTCTCCTTGTCTCAAATTGTTCTTGTCAGTTCTTTTGGTCACAGTGGCAGAAAAGCTGACTAAACACACACACACACACACACACACACACACACATATAATATATAATATATATATAATATGTAACTTTTTTTAGATGTCAACAATAGCCAGTTAAAACTTCTAGTGGAAAAAAAAATTCTCTTGACAAAAAAAAACAATAAACTAAATTTAAAAATACTATAAAGTTAATAATAAATATGAAGTATGTGTTTGGCAAAAAAAAATTGTTCTGAAAATCTGAGAATTTCTATACATGCTAAAGAAAATAAAAATATAAGCATGAGGTTTTTTTTTGGTGGGGGTAGAGGTTGCTGGGTAGGGAACCCATTGTGTGTTCTAGGCAAGTGCTCTATCAGATATAGGCATTCTGAGCCCTTTTTATTATTTATTTTGAGATCAGGTCTTGCTAAATTGTTGAGGCTGGGCTCAAACTTGTGATTCCCCTGGCTCAGCCTCACAAGTAGCTGGCATTCTAGGTATGTGCCATCATGCATGAATATTATTTTTATTGAGACATAATAGTTTTACATATTTATGTGTTACAGTATGGTTATTCATACATGTGCAGTATCAAATGTGCAGTAAACAAATCAGGTTATACCCTTCTAGTCATTTTGAAATATATTTATTGTTTTAACAATACTTACTTGTGCTATATAGACAGTTAGTACTAGTTCCTCCTCTCTGTTTTAGTGCCCTTTGTTTAACTTCTTTCTTTCCTCCCACTCCTTCCCTTCCTAGTCTCTGTTGACCGCCATTTCTTCTATAAGATTAGCATTTTAGTTTCTACAAATGAGTGAGAATATGTGATATTTATCTTTCTGTGTTTGGCCTATTTTCCTCAGTAAAAGGGCCTCCAGTTTCATCCATGTCACAAATAACAGGATTTCATTCCTTTATATGGTTGAGTAATAATATTCTATTGTGTTTACATACTATGTGTGTGTGTGTGTGCGCGTGCACACGTGTGTGCTAGGCAAGTACTCTACCATTGAGCTACAACCTCAGCCCCGTTGTGTATATTATTTTTAAGTGTGTGTTATAGATATTTGGATGTCTATTGGAGAGGGGTTTTTTTTTGTTTAGACATCTAAGTCTCAATGATATCTATATGGGTAGAAAGAAAGACCAAATGGAGAATCATTAAGTGTGGTGCAGGAGGGTGGAAGTTCTAGAAAATTATACTTGACTAGGAGACTGTTGGAGGAGCATGCGAGTGGAAAATCATTCAGCAGAATATTATGAGATGTATTTTAGAAGTATCCAAAGAAATCCTGAGGGTATAGAATGTTTGGGGAGAGATAAGTGTTGGAGGGGGAGGTCAGTATGGATATGAGCAGTGTGTCCAAGGGCCTGGTATATCCAGAGAAGTAAGCCACTGAAACAATAGGGTCTGGGAGCTAGGGTGCTTAAGGGGACAAGACAATGAGAAGGGTGCCATTTTAGAGAAGGAGATATAGATGTTCAACATCAGTCCTTGAATTAAAGTTTTGCACAGATATTGTGTGCTAAATCCAACAGCATGTAAGCTATCTATCTGGTTGCTGGCCCAGAAAGAGATGCATATATGCATTTTCTTTACCCTGTCCAACAAGTTAACAAGGATGCAGAGTGGTGACAATAGGTACATCTTTAAAAACAGAGTATACCACAAAAGCTTTCCTAAAGAGAGCAAAGAAAGAAAGAAATCAGTGGATCTGGGACTTGATGACATCTAGAATGTTAAAAATTTGATGAATGATATTTGAACATGTGTACAAAGAACCTTAGAAGCTAATTAAAAATTCAAGTTTCAGGGAAGCTACACAATCACAGATATTTGTAGTGTCTTAAAATATCATGTCAGAAAAATTATGGAAAATCATGGTAACACATCAACTTAATTGTTCTATTAGAAACAAATATTTAATCCTATGATAAAATTAACTTGTTTAGCTTTTTCATCCTTGTTCAAAGAACCCCAACACAAACTATATAATTTGTTATATGAGAAATAATACAAAAATCATTTGTCTTTTCTTTGTATTTCCTCCTTTATTGATAAGCAAATAGTTGTCCCATTCTGCTTATTTTCTAGTCAAGATTGACTACAAAACAGAAAGGAAACTTGAGCTGTGAGCTTTGACTACTGATCCTCATAGTGCCATTCCATTGCTCTGATTTGTAACATGCTATATAACCTCTCTAAATGATAAATGGATAGATAGGAATACTTATAAGTATGATAGTTACATGCATACAATAATATGTAGCTGAGATTTATATATGCATAGCTAAACAGTTTTATGGAGACATAATTTGTTCATTTTAATTTTTGCTGTTCAATTTGTATTGAATTTACTGAGTTGTTAAACTATCCCCATCATCCCATATTAGAGCATTTTTAATCACCCCAATGAAATCTTTCATGCCTGTTTACTAACCTACTTTCTGACTCTCAATTGGATATTACATATCAATAGAATGATAGAATAAATGGTCTATTCTGTCTGGCTTATTTCAATTAGCATAATATTTTCAAGGTTCATTCATGTTATATCATAGATTAGTACTCTTTTTTTATAAAAAGTATTCCATTTTATGGGCTCACCACAGTTTTCTTTCCTATTAGTTAATTGACACTTTGGGTATTTTCCATTTTGAGGCTGTGAATAATGAACATTCACAGAAGAATATTTATGTTCGTATTTCTCTTGGGTATATACCTAAAAATGGAATTGCTAGAAACTAATGGAATAGAATGGAAAATTATTTTTTGTTACTAGGGATTGAACCCAGGGGTACTTAACCACTGAACCACATCCCCAGACCGTTTTTATATTTTATTAGAGACAGGGTCTGAGTTGCTTAGGGCCTTGCTAAATTGCTGAGGCTGGGTTTGAACTTGCAACCCTTCTGCCTCAGCCTCCTGAGTAGCTGGGATTACAGGCATGTGCCACTGCACCCAGCTTCCCAAGCTTTTTAATTTTTAAAAATTTTGAAACAGGGTCACACTAAGTTGCTCAGAGCCTCAGTAAACTGCTGAGGCTGTCCTTGAACTTGTGATCTTCATACCTCAGCCTCCCAAGTTGCTGGAATTACATGTGTGAGCCACCATGCTTAGCATGTTTAACTTCTTAATAAATTTACAAACTGTTTTCCAAAGTGGCTATACCATTTCGCCTGTATTTCCACCAGTAATGTGTGGAAGATCCTATTTTTGTATACCCTTACCTTCACTTGTTATTGTTTGTCATTTTTTATTATAGCATTCTGGGTTTGATAAGTATTTTTTTCATTAAGTTAAGGGGATGGAACAATTGGCTGGTCAGTTGGCATGGACATAGTATTATATGATGTATAAATGAATTGAAAGGAGAGCTTCATGGCATATCATAAGTTATTTATTCTAAATATTGCGAATATTTAGATATTATATAACTGATGGAGGTGTTATAGCCTGTATGATTTGAGCTCTAACATCATTTTTGATTAATACATTCTTGTTGTTTCTCAGAGAGGATCTTAAAATGTCTATTCAGGATATACCTATGAATGAAAATTCATCGGATGTTGATATGTATTCATCTATACCCGATTTTCAAGAACTAATGACTGAAGACTATTTAGGAGAGGAAACTGACAATATTTCTTTGGAGTTTATGTCTTCTCCTTCTGAGGATAATTATTCAATCTTTACTGAAGACAAATCAGACAGTCAATTTAATACTATAATGAATAGGTATGCAATGTCTTTCTTCTGTAACCTAGTAGGTTTTACATGTTTTTGAGGAAAGTGGTTTTTTTTTTTTTTTTTTTTAAAAATTACAGTCTGGGGAACACTTTGGATACAGCTAAAGAAAATCAGGGATATAACAATAGCTTATAGAGTCTTTGAAGGATACCTCCACCCTCACTCTTTCCCTTTCTTTCTGTGAAACCCAAAAACATTATTTAGAATGTTGATAAGGACTTTGAAATGAAGTATATAGCTAGTTACCCCCAAATCTAGCTGAGCAGTAGCATAATTCTTTGCTATATCTGTGATTACACAGTTGAATATTGAGTTGAGTCTACTCTCATTTTGCAACCTTAATCAATCAGACATTTTTAAGGGGAAAACTAAATTAGGATCAACACCTTATCCTGGGACTTAGCACTGATGTAGGACTTGTGTTTCTGAGGAAATTTGGATATTGATTTTCACACATATGTTCTTTTTCTGAAGTTAGAAAATTACCTGTTTATCCAAAGCATAATATTATGGTAAGTTTTGGGAGATATAATTAAGGAAACATTTCCCTTAGGCACCTCCACTCCTGATATTATCTTTGTTTCTTATATACTGCAAATGTACTTTTTGGTGTTTCACCTTCTGTGGTCTTCTGAAAATAAGAGCCCAACATTGGTAGTATAAAATCTTCCCTTTATTTTATATTCAAAATTATCTCAGAAAGCAGGGTGAAACCTCCTGCTTGGAACAAAACTAGAAGAAAAAAAAACAAGATTTCATTTCCTGAAACTAAGAGGTTGTGTGTGCTTCAGCAGAAATACTACTAAATTGGAGCCACAGAGTCACTGTTGTCAGCAGATCTCTACTCATGACAACACTGAGTGGCTTGTGGAGGAGGGATGTCAGCTGGAGTTTCACCTTCATCAGCAGTGCTTACATTAGTCTGTTTTCATACTTTACCATCTTATGTTTGTATTATTCCCTGCTACTTTCCCTTATTTATTGTCCAATCCCAGAAAGATGAAGGTCATGTGTGGGCCTTGGTCAAATTTTTCTCATAAATAGCTTCCTAAGAACACCCAAAAGGGGGCCCTGTAAGCTTCCTCAGCCCAATCCAAAACTTCACTACAGACCCTTGGACCTGTTTCAAAGGAAACTTCTCTAGACAATGAAATAATCTACCAATTTTAGGGCACTTTATGTCCTCAGAACATTAACAGCAACTGTTGTTTGAGATAATTATTCTGAGTTGCTTTAACATTGCCTGAATTGGCCACCAAAGTGAAGTTTAAGTTCTAATAGATTGGCAAATTATAGGAAACTAAGAATTTAGTGGCATTTGGATTCTTAGGTTAAATAGTAATATTTGATAATAATAAAATATATGATCCTCAGAACACCTGATTTTCCTGATGACTGGCACCACAAAATGAAGTCAAGAACTATACCAAAGAGCAAAGTCAAACTATGCATTTTTTGTTGTTGTTCACTGACAACTGGTGACATGTGTCCCACTTCCTCTATTGATGAGATTCAGGCTGAGTGTTGTTCAGTGGAACAATGTAGTCATTTCAAAAGCTAACTTTGGTGTATATAGAATCTCATAAATGAAAAGACCCTAGAGGTCATTTGGATTAGCTAGCTACATTGTTGTGGTGTTTTGCATCTCACTTTTTTTCTTTTGATTGGGAACAGTGACTTATCATCCTATTTGGCACCAAATTCACAAAAGGGCATCCTGTGGAATTATAGCTTTCCCTGGGAACAGACTAGTGTGTTTTTCTTCCATCCTTCTTTTCTAGGCCTCTTCAGGTTGAAAACTCTGGTATGTTACTTGGAAGTGGGCCGCTTTGGCTGAGTTATAACCAGTGAATTATGTACTGAAATCTTCTGAATAGCATTAGGCTTTATAGTCTGAAAGTGAAATATCTGTAACTGGAAAATGCCATATGGTTTGTGGTTTCTTGGTCAAGGACCTGCCATAATCTGTACAATTTATTATGTTTGTGGTATTTTCTCAAAGATTGTCTCCTGGCAGTTAGATTACCATTTTTTCCATCCACCTTCATCCTGCTTGGCAGCAGAGTTTGTTGATTTCCCCACCCCTCTATTTTTTTCATTTAAGGGATGAAATGTATATGCAGGGTATTGAAGGAAACCTGGTGGAGATTAAGTCCTTGCAATCTAGGAAGAAAGTGAACTGTGATGCTGGTCATGTCAGTGAGGTAAGACTATCAATTCATTTTGCTGTATTTACATAAATTATTCCAAAAGCAGAATGATATATGACAATTGGCACTGGTAATATTATGCCTGGGATTCAAAAATACTTGAATTCTTACCTTGACTTTTCCATTGATTTAGTGTATATGGTGTTTATATCTTGATTTTCTGAACCAGAAACTGAAGTAGTTATTATATCTCTCTTCCCCAGACTAATAGTATAATTTATTTTTTATTATGTGGTGATTTTCCTTCTTCCAATTCCTTTAAAATTGTCAATATGAAAGTATAAGTATACCTTTATGTAGAATTTTGTGATGCTTTAATAATAGTTTTTCATACATCCAAAGTTCCTCTTCTTGTCACATTATACCTCACTGTTGTGCAAAAATAAACAGTGTAGAATTTAAGTTGTTGTATATTTCTCTTTTTTCTTTACAGCCAGTCAGTTCTGAACTTCCTACTTTAATGACAAACGAAACTGAAACTTTATCCAGTATGGATGTCATGGCAGAAATAGATGTAAGATCTATTTTTCTAGTCGTTTTATTGCTTTTTATATACCATCCAGTTCTGGGACACTATATTGTTTTTTTGATGATGAAGATTGCCATAGTAGATTATTAGCAGAAAACCTTTACAGTTGAGTGAATGAAGTAGGAGGGCTTAAGGCATGCCATCTATATTCTTTATCTGCCCTCCTCACTTTTTCTTCTATGCCTTAATATTGACTACTTATAGCAAAGTCCAGTTTAAATTAGTATTTTTCAACATTTTACTACTTCCATGCATATATAAGACACCCAGAGATCCACTTAGTGAAGCAGAACTTCTTTGTTCACATATTTGCAAGTGGCTACTAATATAATTGACAAGCCATGTTTACTGATGAACCTATTATTCCAGGTATTCACGAGACTAAGAAGGTAGGAACATGACTTGAGCCTAGGAGTTCAAGGCCAGCCTGCACAACATAGTGACACCTCATCTCAAATAAAAAATTACTTCTAAGTGAACCGTTGCTTTTCTTGGCAATTGCTTTCTTTATAAGTTACATAAAGAGGAATCTTATCCTATTCCTGTGTATATAATCAAAAACTGATACATGTGTTAGATTAAGTATCTTTTTTAACATCAGTTGCCATGCTGAACAACAGAACTTTCTTTAGAACTTGTCTCTTATAGAAAAGGGGACCAGAGAGAATAATTAAGGGAATATTTTGGGGTGCTGGGGATCAAACTCATGGGCTCATGAATACTAGGCAAACACTCTATCATGAGCTATACCCTCAGATACTAAGGAAATATTTTAAGATACTTGTCAGCCAGAAAATATGTATGACTGGATTAAAATGAGCATTACCACATTGCTCATATACTTGATTTTCTTAAATATTACTTCACATTCTAGGATACCCTTTCCTGTCTTTTATGACATAATTTGGTGGCTATAGGTGGCTTTTTTTTTTTTTTTTTGCTACTGGGGATTGAACTGAGGGACACACAACCACTAAGCCACATCCCTAACCTTATTTTTATTTTGTTTAGAGATAGGGTCTCACTGAGTTGTTTAGTGCCTCACTGTTGCTGAGGCTGGCTTTGAACATGTGATCCTCCTGCCTCAGCCTCTTGAGCTACTGGGATTACAAGCGTGCACCACCATGCCTGGCTATGAGTGTCAGTTTAATGAGAACGTTTGACAAATGGAGAATCTGTGCATTTTAGACTATGTAATAGATAAATATCTGAATATTAAATGTACTACTTTATAAATATTGGATAGGTAACCAAATTTAATCTATGTAAGAAATCATGCTTTGTTTGGATATAGTCATTTAGTAAATGATCATGATTATGACTGGAAATTATAATAGGACCAAAAAAGAACAGGGCATCTATTTGTTAAAATTGTTTTTGTTAAGCCTTTCCTCATACTCCTGTGAATTGCAAGGAAACTGAATTCCTAGCAGATAATTTTCTTTAATAGTATACTTACAGGCCTGTTTCTCTTAGCTTAGTGAAATCTTAGTGTTGTTGTTGCTAGTTTAGGAAAAAAATAAAACCCTTGTATATTCCCATAACTGTTTCCTCTAGCTACAGAAGATCTCCAGATGAAACTTTTTTTTGGTCATTGACCAATAAGTAATGGGGCTAGATCCTGTGGGTGTTGACTCTTGTTATATATTGTTTAGCTGAGATGACTTGAAAGAAGTGTTTTTTTTCTTTCTGGACATACTAGACATATTTGATGATTCTCATCATTCAGGTTCAAACACTCAGGTTCAAATCCAATATTTACCACATTTGCTTTTGTCTGGGCAAATAAATATTGGTCAATATTAGTTCAAGCTAAGTGACAACTGGACCTACGTCGCATAATTGGCTCTTGCTGCACTATGAATTGATTTTTTTCCCCTTCTGTCTAAAGAGCAGTTAGTAAAGAAAGCTACAGCCTTTAGAAAGCAAAGTAAATGGAAGCATTCTTCCCTCAATTTTGTTAATCTCTCAAGAGATAGGTTTCTTTTAAGGTGCTGAGGACTGAACTTAGGGCCTCATGGTTGCTAAGTGTGTACTGCACATACTCCGGCCCAAGACATAGTCTTTTTTTCATCAAGTATTTAACTTTATCTCCAAGAATGATTGCTGGATAAAGATTCTAATATTTTATTTCCCTTTATAGACTCTTGATTTAATGAATAGTGAAGAAGGAGAGAGGAATCTACTTGAAGCCAATGGAAGACAAGGTATAAACGATTTTTTGTAGAGGGGTCAGATTTATGTTCTAGTCTAGCCTCACAACTTACTAAATGACCTTTGGCATGTCATTTAACCTCTGCAAACCCATCTTTACTCTTGTGTAAACTAAGATAATAATAATTGATTTTTTGATTTATAAATTTTTATGAATATTAAATGAGATAATATATTTGAAAGAGCCCTGAAAACTATTTTTAATTTATTTTATTTTTTAAATACATGACAGTGGAATACATTACAATTCTTATTACACACATAGAGCACAATTTTTCATATCTCTGTATATAAAGTATGTTCACACCAATTTATGTCTTCATACCTGTACTCTGGATAATAGTGACCATCACATTCCACCATCATTTCTAACCCCATGCCTCCTCTTTTCTCCTCCCACCCCTCTACCCTATCTAGAGTTCAGCTATTCCTCTGATGCTCCCCTTCCCTACCCCACTATGAGTCGGTCACCTTATGTCAGAGAAAACATTCAGCATTTGTTTTTGCACAATGGAATATTACTCATCAATAAAAGAGAATTAAAATCATGGCATTTGCAGGTAAATGGATACAGTTGGAGAAGATAATGCTAAGTGAAGTTTAGCCAGTCCCCAAAAAACAATTGCCGAATGTTTTCTCTGATACCATGTAAACTTAAGGGAGAATGTATTATAATGTCTCTAACTTTAAGACAAAAACCATAATAAAGATATTCAAAAGGATGTGCTGTAATGAATTTGGGTTTTCACATGACATCCAAACAAGTTCTCAGAAGGTAGGTCCTTTGTTTTTTACTAAGCTTAATTCTCCACAGTTAGCTTAGATTTTATAGGAAGTGCATCCTACAAAGATCTATATTCTAGTGGTTACTGATATTCCTAAATCCAAAAACAGATTTTAACAAAGTCACATCACATTCTTCTCTTATAGAATTATCAAAAGTTTGAAATATTAAGTATATTAGGAAAGCTGATATTAGATTCTTGGACCAGAGGCAAGAGTACATTATTCTTCCATATTATTTTTGCATAAGATGCCCCTCGAATAGCTATTTTGAAGAGTGTAACTCAGAATAGTGGGAAGATAACTCTCATTCTATTCTGTGATTCATTTAGCAGTGTAAGATTTTGATTTTTTCTTACCCTCTCTTCTCCCACAATGTGTAACAAAACAATGTCTCTCCACAGACCAGCAAGTGGTAGAATACAAGAAATATGCCCTGCTTTCCCTGTTAGAGGAGGTGCCAAAAAATGATTTTGGAGAAAGACTTCAAGATTCTAATGACCTTCTTTTGGATGATCTGAAGAATCCATCGTTGGTCTTACCAGATTTCAATGACCATGATTGTATAGCCCTGAATGTTTCATCTCCAGGAAATGTAAATACTATTGAAAACTCTGCACCCCACTTATATGTGGAAACAAATGGAGAATCTATGCTGTTCCCTTTGGTTTTTCTCAGCCCTGTTACCAATTTTGATGATGAGTCCAACAAACTTGTGTCTTCTACTTGAATTTATTTTGAGCTCCCCCCATTCTAGCTTCCTGCTAGAAAAGTGGCAATGACTCAAATACCTTTGGCTATCTAGTATGTGCCCCTTCATCTCTTAACCTCTGTGAATTGAAAAATACAGTTAAAATTGTTGCTTGCTGTTACCTAAGCAAGTTTTCACAACTGGGATTAAATTCAGACCACACAAAAAAAGATAGAGAACACATTTATGTTGGGGGGCATGTAAAAAATGTAAATCAACATTTTGCTAATACCTTATTTACATCCAGAAGTTTATGTTAAGTACTACAAAGGATGACAATCTTCAAAATAAATAGCAAATCCATGTAGCTAGTTTCTGCTGATAGCAAGCAAACTATGCCATTCCAGGGATTCTTGAGACAAATATATTTTGAAAAATATTTTCAAAGGCAAGGATTTTTTGTGAATTCTGGAAAGGACAGGACTAAAATTTTCCCTTGATTTTACAGGTACATTTATTTTATAGTTTTTCTATTTTAGTTTAATTAATTATGCAATTTTTATTTTCTAAGAAAATTGAATTTTCAGCATAAAATTATATTTTTATATGCTATTGCACTAATCAAAAGATTCCCTTTACTTGGGCTGGAGTTGTAAATCAGTGGAAGATAACTTGCCTAGCATGAGTGAGGCACTGGAGTTGATCCTGAGCACCACATACATACATACATACATACGTAAACAAATAAATAAAAAAAAATATAAAGGAATGCTGTCCATCTACAACTATATAAAAAAAATTTTAAAGAAAGACTACCTTTACCCAATATTTTGAATCTCATCTAAAACCTTGTGAAAGAACTGAGTCACATTCTAGCCATGTTTTTTACCCCCAATATGAGGAAACACAAGAACCAATTTATATATATATAACTGTATATATTTATTTATATATATAATTTATATATATATATATATATATATATATATATATATATATATATATATACAGTTGTAGTTGGACACAATACCTTTACTTTATTTATTTTTTATGTGGTGCTGAAGATCGAACCCAGGGCATTTCACGTGCTAGGTGAGTGCTCTACCACTGAGCCACAACCTCAGCCCCAAATTTAGTTTTTAAAAATTAATATGCCACATTCACAGTCAACCATTTCTTAACTTTATATCCCATCTCTATTTCTTTAGTTGCTTAAAGCATATGCTGGCATGCATATACTTATTTTATAATTGATTATGCTTCAGGAATGTTATATGGTTTTCAACCTGGAGCAGTTCTTATACAAACTCATAGGATTCGTATTTGATCAACCAGTGGGCACCACAACACTTGGACTCTAAATCTTCTGTTAAGTACAGGAAACATTATAAAACATGTGCAAGATTTTCCAGTTTTCAAAATGAATAGAAAATCTTCAAGGTAGTTTTTATGTGTGCAGGGATGTGTGTGTGTGTGTGTGTGTGTGTGTGTGTGTGTGAGAGAGAGAGAGAGAGAGAGAGAGAGAGAGATTGAACCCAAGGGTGCTTAACCACTGAGCCACATCCCCAGCCCCCTCTCTCTCTTTCTTTCTTTCTTTCGTTTTTCTTTTTTTAAATTTGAGACTGGATCTTGCTAAGTTGTTAAGGCTGACCTCAAACTTGTGATCTTCCTGCCTCATTCTCCTGAGTTGCTGGGATTATGGGCCTGTACCACCATGCTTAGCTCAAGCTAATTTTTTTAAAAATTTTTAGTTGTAGATGGGCACAATACCTTTATTTTATTTATTTATGTGGTGCTGAGGATCAAACTCAGTGCCTCACACATGTGAGGCAAGTGCTCTATAACGGAGCTACAAGCCCAGCCCCTCAAGCTAAATTTTTAAAGGGATCAATTTGTAACATTTTCCTCTTCTTTTACTCTCATCTGCTAAATGGTTTCTACAAATTTACTTATTTTATGCTCCTTTTATTTCACTAAATTTCACATGTGGTTCCAGAACCTCTCCAATGGAGTCAACTTCAAAAGAAAGGAAGGATTTTTTAATTGTTTTCAGCCAATACAAGTTAAAAAGTTTGTGCTCATTTTAATGGTTTATACAATCTCTAAAATTCTTAAGTCCAGGCTTCATTTTATTCAGGACTGAACTTTTAATTTGCAGAATTGAACTTTGCATACTAAATTGGAAAAAAAAAACACTTTCATTGTTGTTATAATGTTTACTTCACAGGTTACATAAAGTTAATAAACATCCTACCATGTGTTTCATATTGTCTTCTTTGGGGAAGACTGGGCTCTATACATAAAGAAGTGTTGCAAACTGTACATATAGGTTTGCAACTGTGTAAAACACACACATATACTTATTTGTACCAATTTTCACTTCAAAATAACCATTGCCTTGAGATTCCTTCAGTTGTGTGGTTCTATGCAAAATAAAAACAACACAGAGCCACATATGTGGAGCAAAGGGTTGGAGGTGAAACTGGCAGTATCTTCAAATTCATAGCTCAGGAGTTTACATTTCAATCTGAACAATATGAAGCAGGCAAAAAATATGAGGAACAAAATGAAATCAAATTGGCATGCTCTTAATAGTCTGGTTGTAGACTGGATAGTTGTAAGAATCTAACATTATGTCTATCAAAAATAATGTTCTGTTTTCCTCAGGGCCCATAACCCATACTAAATAGGTAATGAAATAGTCAGCACCCTTTCTATTAGCATTATACAAGACTAAATGACTAAGGGGTCTTTTTTATTTTTTTAACTTGTTCTAATTAGTTATACATGACAGTAGAATGCATTTTGACACATTGTACTCAAATGAAGCACAACTTCTTTCTCTGGCTGAATATGGTACAGAGTCACAGGGGTATTGTAATCATTCATGTATATAGCATAATAATGTCCATCTCATTCCACTGTCCTTCCATCACACAGCCCTCCCTTCCCCTCACTCCCCTTTGCACAATCCAAAGTTCCTTCATTCTCTACCCACCTCCCCCGTTATGGATCAACATCCGCTTATCAGAGAAAACATTCAGCCTTTGTTTTTATTGGGTTTGGCTTATTTTGCTTAGCATGATATTCTCCAGCTCCATCCATTTACCTGCAAGTGCCACAATTTCATTAATTTAACACTGAGTAATATACCATTGTATATCTTAATGTTTAGAAGTGAATGTTGACCTTGGGCTTTTTTCGATTTGGTGAACCTATCATCACTTTCCTTTCGACAGCCTATAGAAGAAAAAGAATCACTAAGCTGAATGCTATGGCCATCACAAAGTAATCTTGGCAAATTATTTTGGTGCAAGATTACTAAATTTCAAGTATGTATGTTTTACTTCCATTCTGAAAGAGTCAAGGTCCCTTCTTCTAAACCAGGCAAGCACCCAACTGCTTTCATGACATTCCTTTCAGGGCCCATGTCTGAGAAAGGGTAAGGTTACATTGGACAAAAACCCAAGTTATGTAGAGAGCTCTAGCTTCCCCCAAATTAGAAATACCATACATTGTGAAATATATAATGAATTATATTTTAGTATTAACTTATTTTTTTCCTGTGGTGGCACTTGGAATTGAACCCAGTAGTACTTTACCCCTGAGCTATATCCTCAGCCTTTTAATTTATTATTTGAGACAGAGTCTCACTAAATTGTTCAGGCTGGCCTTGAAATTGTGATCCTCCTGCTTCAGCCTCTTGAGTTACTGGAATTGCAGGCATGTGCTTTCTTTTTTTAAATACCTTTATTTTATTTTATTTATTTTTATGTGGTGCTGAGGATTGAACCCAGTGCCTCACACATGCTAGGCAAGCTCTCTACCACTGAGCCACAACCTCAGCCCTGACATGTGCTTTCTTAATGAAGACTTAGAAGGTACTAACAGATGCACCTACAGTTTGAAATTATGAAAGTGCTCATCTCACACAGTGGAAAGCTTTCAAACAAATGACTTAACCCATTTTGCTTTGCTTGTGCTCAGGGCAATTGTCCATCAAAAATGAGTATTGGTAGTTCTGATTTTAGAAAAATGAAGGAAGCTCTCTTCTATTTTCTCAAATATCTTTCTTGAGATAAGATCTTGGGCAAAGATAAATCTTTCCTGACTAGTTGATTCTTGTGCCAAAGACACTAAGAAGAATGAACAAAGTAGTAAAACTCATCAATTAAAAAGGTGGTGAATAAGCACTTGCTTTTCTATTGCTGTGAATCCTTTTAATATTTATTAAGTGCCTATTTTGTGCCAAGATCTAGAGGTATGACAGTGGACATGATAGAGTCCCAGCCCCCATGGATCTTAGTCTCTCTGGGAAGTTATAATCATCACTCAAATAGGTAATTCCATTACATTCTAAGAGACAAAATGGAAAAGGAGTCTTTTTTTTACTTGTTTACAGTCCATTCCTCTTATCTAAACTCCAAATTGCAAGATCAAGGATTTTGTTGTCTTATTTGCCCTATGTCATTGATTTCTAGAATGTAAGTGCCACAGTATGTTGAATGACAGATTAAAAGATGGTCAGTTAGGCTGTCCCCTGAATAGAAAGAGCTATTTCATAGTGCTTGGGCAGAACTATAAAATCTCAGAACAAATAATTACCTTAACATACAATGAAATTTCTAAGGGGGATGCCCAGTTTGGAATGTTCCACTTAGAAACCAAGAAATATGCAAGTTCTAGAATTAAAGCTAGAGGCCATTCTGCTTTTGGAGAGCCTGAACTTATCCTATTTCATTTTGGAAGTCATTCAGAAGCCACCTTTTTTTATATTTATTTTTTTAGTTGGGCACAATATCTTTATTTTATTTATTTATTTTTATGTGGTGCTGAGGATCAAACCCAGGGCCTCACACGTGCTAAGTGAGCGCTCTACCGCTGAGCCACAACCCCAGCATCCACCTTTGTTTTTTAATTGTCAAAATGCTATTAAGTAAGCCAGGCATAGTGGTGAACACCTGTAATCCTCAGGCTCTGGAGACTAAGGCAGGAGAATTGCAAGTTCAAAGCCAGCCTGAGCAACTTAGCAAGGGCCT